TCAAGTATGTTTTTCAATGTCCGTCCTGGAATGCTTGGCATTGAGACAGGCAACTTGTTATATAAATGTGACAGCAATTTTACATGCGAGTAACTTTGACAGAAAAATCATGACTGCCAATCTTAAAGGTCCAGTGTGTAACAACATCGCTACGCGAGTTTTATTGTCAGCACCCACTTGAATCATAATATTCATAGCTATGTTTTCATCAGTGTATAATAGCGTGAAATAGCCTGAAAGTAAGAACAGCCATGTTTCTACAGTAGTCCAGAAAGGACAAACCAAACACTGGTTCTAGATAAGGCCTTTTGTAATTATTAATCAAGTTTAGCTGCCACCGTAGTTTCTCCTACACGCTTGGTAGGCAAGCAGTATTCAGTTAGTTCAACTTCTTGCTAGATGCCACTAAATCCTACATACTGCTCCTTTAAGGCTTCAATGGCAATATATATTCTACAATCCAACAGTGATGGAGCCTGTCAGAGATCATACAGCACTCTGCTATGCTCCCTCTTGTGTACTAAGTGGAGAATGTTGTGCGAGCATTGTGGCTCTTTCCATAAATCTCCTGCCATAATGAAAAATTTCGCAATGGACACCTTTATGTAAATGAAAAAAAGCCAATATTTTAACAGATAGATGTAGTCAGAAATGTTGAATATTCCTTGTCTGACTGTACACAAAGACAGATGTAAAAACTGAAACAATGTCTTCATCTTATCAAATGTCTTTGAATGACAACAGTGGCGTTCTTGGCATTCTGCTGCATTTCTAGTCAAACTCACCACAGTCTAAATAATGCATAGCCTAAGTCACACCCCCTGTTTTCCGCTCTGACTCACCCATGGAGGCGCTGAATACTTTAGAGCACAGCTCAACTACTGTAAAAGTTGCTATCTGAGTGTAACAGGCTTTGTGCTGCAAGCAGTCGACATTAAAATCAATTTCCACTGGCTTTTCCCCGTTACTCATTATATAGTTTATACCTCTTGCTGAAAGCACCTAAACCCCATTTCAATGGTGCCAGGCTGAATGTGTACACACACCATGTACACACACACACAGGTCCTGTAGCCTTTCCCGTAGCTAATTTCAAATCCTATTTCTGTGCCCTTCTCCACAGTGATTTTTCTGGCTCAGAGATGTGAACATCCGCTTGAATAAATATTAATGGTTATTCCATGAGCAGTGCCCACTCACAAGTGTGCTGGAAGAACAAAAGGCCTTGTTTACAAGTACGCTTGAGGAAAAGCTAAGGCACGGAGGGCCTCCGAAAGCCTCCGAGGGCGGCTCTGTGGCGCTGTTGTCTCACAATGGAGTGCTGATTGAAACACACTCTTAACTTCCAGCGCGCGGCGAAGGCGAAAATCCTCATCATGACGAATTTCTATTCAACGACTGCAAGGATGGAGCTGGAGAAATCAAGCTTAGGAACTTGCAGCCTCTACTTAAACTCGTTTAAGACAGAGCTGAGAGGTAATTAGGTTTCTGGGAACAATAAGCACTCAGCACCTTGTGTAGCTCCAGCCTCGCTCCAGACATTTCCTTTGGTGTAATTAGGGGAGGTGTGAATTCCTCATCAGATGGATCACCATCTGCATTCACACACTGCGTGTTCATTCCCCCAGTCCCCAGCTACGAGCCTATGTTCATCCTGATTATCATGCAGGAGGTGGAGATGGGGAGGATGGAGGCAAGGACTTCTCTTTTTTAAGGTTCTTTCAGTGCTACGGGTCTCCAGCACCTCGCTATGCAAAGGTTAATCAATTCTGAATGATGAGCCATAAAAGCTTTAATAATGCAGTCACTCTCTAATGAGTGGTCCTTCATACTCGCTCAGGAAGGACCGATTGTTTTAGGAAGCTCCAATGTTCCAATTACAAAGCGCTCAAGCATTCCCTAACAGCCCAGAGAGAGCCGGACACAGTGAAAGTCCAGCGAGCCGGACAATGAGCCCTGCAGCATGGAGCTAATGTCTTCTCAAGATGAGAAACAACAGAAACCCATCATATGGCCGTCAATATCAACCTAATTCCAACTATTGACTTGCCCTTTAGCTGAACCTGGAGAGTTTTGACTGTAGTTCCACCACCTTTGTCATGTTTAAGGAACCGGTTCAGAAACCAGCTTTGCTCTCAATCAAATTTGAAACCTCATAGAGACAGTGTCGGAGTGGATGGACGCATCAATAGTCTCCCATTTTGACATTAGAGACCATTGTTGAATAGTCAACCTTTACTTTTAACCATGACCACAATATTTCCCAAGCCCTTTGACTATCACTACCCTAACCCTAACTTATTTTAACCCAAACCATGATCTTTCTAAGCCTAACCCATAACCCTAACTAAGAGCGAGAATGGTCATTGACCTTGGAGACAGACCTTGACTAATGTATGAATATCTCCTTGACAACTGAAACAACTCCATTTTCTGACAAAGTCTGTGGGATGCAGTTTAAAAATCAAATGGACCTTGAGTCAGATTATTTTGGCAAAGCAGTTTTTGTGCCTACACCTAAACCTACAGCCAAGCTGGCCAGGAAGGAGTCATATAGGTTAAGACAATTATAGATGTGAATGCCACTGTGATATAATCATGCACTGTAGATAAATATGGGATTCTAATCCACATTTCTCAAGCCATTCAGACATACTGGTTGGAAAAGATTCATCCAGGGTTAGATCTCTATTAGGCAAACACTGCCTTCTTATCAAGTATCTTATATTGCTCAGTTACGCCTTGCATGAAACAATCATAATAAACCATAAACTAAAATAAACCTGATGGCTATTCTTTTGCAAATTTGTTATATTCGTTTCAAATCTTCAGTAATTTCAGCCTTCATTTAAAGGTATTATTCTGTCCCAGAGCTGTCCTGCCATTGAACAGATGGAGTGGGTCGCACTGCCTTGAAGAATTGCTAACCCTGAAGGAATTTGATTAGTCTGGGTTTCAAAGCGGAATTCTAGTATTGCATCATAGTCTAAATAAATAATAAATAATGACTAGTCCATCCAGAAGAACAGAAAAACACAAAGAAAATCAAGGCATCTGTGTAGTTTTTTTAAGAAAAGATAGGCGCTTGGCAAATCAGAACTATAAGACTTAATGGATTTAGGTTTTCAACAAAATTATCAGCAACCTGGTCCATCCTTGCCAATTACACTGATTATAGTGCTATAGCACTTTAAATGGTGCCACTTAACCAAAATCATAAACATGACACCATCTTGGCCAAGCCCGCCGCTCTCTTTCACAATAGCTAATGGCTAAATATTCCGCCGGGTTAACTGAGTAATTGTCTGTTGTCAACATGCCATATATAATTATGAGGGACTCTAAAAGAGCATGTGTTAATTGTTTTTTCTGGCTTTTTCCTGCAGGTTGTCCTTCTCTTGCCATCCTCGTGTCCTTGGCCTGGCAACCCCTCAGCACATTCCAGCGTGTGTCTCTGTCACGAACCAAGCATCACGAAATACATCATCCCCAACACTATATCCCGCACACATCCATTCAAGTAAATGCCTCCTTCTTTCTTTCTTTCTTTCTTTCTTTCTCACAGATAAACTAGAGATATGTATGTGTAATAGTAACTGTTTTTGGTAGCAAACCTCTAGAGATGTATGCTTTGAAAAGAAAAGTGGCAGGTGAGCAACTTTACTTAATTCATTAAAACAATGACATGAATGTGAATAACTTAACCAATATGATGATGTAGAAGCAGCAGGCCATGATTGGCCATCATGGCAGTGGGCAGGTGTAGTTAGCCAGAGACAGGGGTTATATATCCAGCTAAAGCTTCAGTGCTCTCTTTGCAGCCTTCTTTTAATCACCACAGTCAGAACACTATTTTGGGCCAACTGTGTTTCATGGATGCTCAAGCATGAAAGAGGAATCTTGTTGGGTGGATCCATAGAAATAATGAATAAAAAAGGCTTTAGAGTTTGTCACCGCAAAATACAGCATTTTAATTACGGTAGATTCCCTTGAGACTGAGCTGCAAATACAGTACTGGCTCTTTAGGTACCACTGGGAGTCTGCATCATTGCTAAGCTAATAATGTTTTGCCACTGTAGTGCTGATATACACATTAAATTAATCTGGGTAATATGCATACTGGATATATTATGGATCATATCAGACTATGGTCATTAATGCTAATGGGGAATCATTACCGTAGTTTGCATATGAGAGGTTTTCAAAATTAAACCATCAATTGCCACATTCCTAATGCTTAATGCTCTCTCAACTGGAGCAAAGGGTGAACTGTGCATAGACTGCTGTGAGCCACACTTTCTGCAACTTCAGATTTTAAAAAATAGTTCAACATTGTGGGAATTGTGGTTATTCACTTTCTTTTTGAGGGTCAGACGAGAAGATCAATACCAACCCCATATCTGAGCATAGGGCACAAAACTGAAGTCAGGACATGGTTAACCTAGCTTAGCAGCTAGCACTGCTAAAGTACACTAATTAACACACTATACCAAGTATTTTATAGAGATAGCGCTGTAACATTTTTTTAACAAATAACAAATGATCATCTTTGGCTATAGCACTGGTTGCCAGACACTGTCAGTTAGCACAAATTGTTGTCTATACATTCATGTTTGTTTATGGATTAACCAAATGAAATACGATGTGTTAATTAGTGAGCATTAGAGCTGTTGTATTTTTGAACACTGAAAATAGCAAGGGAAGTTGTTTACCCCTGCTTCCAGTCTTTATGTTAAGCTAGGCTAATCGCCTCTCTCATCTAACTCTTACAAAAAAAGAGAGTGAGTGTATGCTGTATGTAAATGTTGAACTCTTTCTTTAGACTGAAATAAACTCTGCAAATATCAGGAAACATTCAGAAAATTAACTGTATCCTTTAAAAACGTCACATTTTCTTCCACAGCAGTACAATTTAAAAGCTCTTTACCCCACAGAAAAACATTGCAGAGAAATTTTCCAAGTGCAAATCATTATTATCAATAAACTGTTCGAGTCCTTACCTGCTTGACCAGTAGCGATGCTAACCGCTGCAAACAGCCTCTGTGTGCGGCTCAGGTCCGACACCCCGTTGACAGCCTCCACCTCAAAAGTGTAGTTGGCGTGGGCGAGCAGGTCCACGATGGTCACGTAAGTGTCCACTAATCCTGACTGCGCGGGAGAGTATCCCACATTGGGCCCACATGGAACACACTCCTCTGGTTCCCAGCTGCAACGCCGGCATATAACCCTGTAGGTGACGTCGTTGCGGCCGCCCGTGTCAGCCGGCGGGCCCCACTCCAGGTTAATGGTGGTCTGGTTGATGTTGTAGACTATGTTCTGTGGCGCTGAGGGAGGTCCTGTCAGAGGTGGACACGGAGGAAGCCAGAATTAAATAACTGGGTGCCAAAGAAAGTGACAGCCAACAGTGTGCATTGACTGGATCTGTGCTTTCACTGTTCTCTGAGAGAGAAAAAAAAACACTATAGGACATGCCAGCTCCAGCCCTAGAGCCAAACACTCACACTCAATTATAATAAGACTCAGATCCAGAAAAAAAGTAGTTCAGGTACACTGAAAGGAAGTCTGCTCTGGCAGCCACCAAGGTCAGTGTGAGAAGCCTGTGAAATCAAGGAGTGGAGCCCAGAGTTTCAAAGGGAGAATAATTTCATAGTCAGAGTTCAAGCAACACAGTTTTTATGTCACTGTTTTTATGAATTGTCATTACCAGGACAGAGAACCCATCTAACCCACCCACTTCCATTACGCCTCATCCCTCCAGCACCTTCATTTACACTATAAAATGCTCATAATTAAATTTATTACAAGATTTTACAGTGTATGAGGTTTTTCATTTTTAAGTTAGATCCACTTAAATGGTCTAGTTAGCACATTGAAAAACATCACACAATCACAGGTAACAAAAAATCACTTGACTAAATGTCCAATAGATTAACAGTTACTTAATTCATAAAAAATAAGTTATTAAAAACGATTGTTAGCTTGTTAGCATTCCCACATGCATTTTATTTGGCTTAAAAATCTTTATAAAGTATGCTTTGTTCTTTTGTTCTTTGTCATTTTATTGCATGTGTCAAAACACTTCAGCCATGTAAGTGTAATGATTCGACAGGGTGGAAAATTAGGGATAAAACTTAACTTTTTTTTAAACTAGACACTGACCTCAATATTTTAAGTTTTTTTTATTAATCTGCACAGGTTCAGTTAAGTTTGAGGCTACTTTCAACATATTTTTTTTTGGCCACTTACCGACATATCTCCACAACAACCTGAAAATAATTATATTATGGCTTCAAAAAGTTTATATGGATATCATGGTAGGAAACTAACTTGTGTACTCAGTAGATACAGATATGTCACTACATTACCTTTTTACTTCAAGGAAGTCAAATATTCACTTTTCCTATGACATCTATTCAGATATTCACTTTCCTATGACATCTGTTTATTTATTTTTTGGCCTTCACCTACTACTAAAATAAATATCTGGCTATTAAGCTACTAAATAGACAACTATGTTTAGCTAGTTGCTAACTTTGCCTGTCTGCTGTTTGGTGATGGGTAGATAGCAAACAGTGTGGTGAGAAACCAAAACAACTAGCTGAAAGATACTGACAAGCTTTTATAAAGCTCAGGGGCGCTTATTTTCTTTGGGTTTGTCACCATGAATGTCCCTTTTCACATCACATGTGGTGATCTTCTCCATTGTTAATAGAAACATAATGATTAATGCAGCATTAGGGCAGCCTGGTTTCTCATATTTTAATTTTAAAACAACCTGATGTTTTTTGTTTTTTTTTTACAGTGTAGTCATGCATGGAAACATAGCTGGTTATTTATCCAGATGGACTAAGAGCTTTGTTTACATAGCAATTGTTAGCAACATAAAATCTGCAGCTGCTATGAAAATGATTGAGACATGGTTACATGGTCAGACAAATGCTGAACAGGGAATCAGGAGAGACAGACAGCCACAAGTTTCCCTGTTCTCCAGTGATATACAGCTATCCCAGCTGGAGACAGTGGCTTTGCTGGGTTTCCGCAGAAAGGTATATCATGTAGACAGCAGGACACTTAAAGTTAATGTCCTCCAAAAAAAGACTGAAAGACTGACTCACCCACAGAATTTATGAACAAGATTTAAACCTGGATTATCACCGCACTGTAACTGCCATATACAATTTCACTTGACATACAATAACAACTAGCTCCATGTCATCAAAAGTGCACAGGACCACAGACCATTTGCCTGTAAATGTTACACGTAATGGCAAAGAGATTAGCTCATCTCGTAAAACAATGAATAACAAATTGCTGCTTTCATCTTTTAAATTCCAGGCTGTTGGCTTTTATTGCCCAGATGTTGATATAAATAAACTCCCCCATACCGCAGTAAAGATTATATGACTTGTATTCTTTGTTTATGAATGTTTTAAGAACATCTTCATTTTGTTCTCTGGGATATTTAAACTGTTCTGTTTTCTCAGAAAATATTCTTTGAGGGAATCTTGGGGAGGGACCTCTCAACTCATTAAATTTGTCACATTAACTAACAAAATAGGTCATGCATATGCATAGAGCCAAAACTGCTATCACAATATTCGGGCTCATTAATACAGCACTTAGTTGTTTTTCCCTGTTCCACCCATTAGAACTGAGGGCTCAACGGAGACATCCATATTCATGATTATTGGGTAAGATAAGAGACAGGCTGTGGACTGGGAAGATGAAAGAGCCACCTGTGGCAGGTGAAGTGGAGACGAGTGACTGCTGATAGCGCCACTCGACTTCAGCCTTGGCACTGACACTCGACCTGCACTCTCAATCTTCCTCGCAGACAAAGGGAAGGTGTGCCTCGGCACATACGCACTAGGTCGCCCACGCACATGTGCACACACAAACACACATACTTCCCACCTCCCTCCCTGAACCTCTGGGATCTTTTATTCCAGCATCTCCATGGCCACGGTAAGCGTTGATAACATCTCATTTTGTTCGTGCCACTCTCATTTGGGTCTCAGGTGCCACAGATCAAAGTGGTGATTTCTCGGCAACAACAGGAGAAAGGAAATTAGATTAGACTGACCCTGGATCTGTGTGACCTTTGTCTTTTGTCCTGTTTTCAGATGCATGCTGCCCTGCAAGCTTTGCCGTTCCACCACTAGAGACCCCAGTGTGCTTCGAACGAAATGCTTGTCTGATCGTCTAACATGGATAGTCTGAAGTCCCCTCCCAAATGGCAGAATTTGGGCTGGGTTCAACAAGTTTTTTAACTTTTCATAACATACAAAAAAGCGCGAAGAGCTCTGAGGGTACGTAGGGTTTAAACTTCTCTCTCAATCTCTCATGAATGCCTTTGAGGAGAGACTGTCTGAATATATACGACCTGTCAAGATGTCAATACCCCATGTCAAGACTACAATGACTAGGGATGGGAACTGATAAGATTTTATCGATACCAATACACTATCGATTCTGCTTATCGGTCCAATTCTTTGTAGGTTCCCGTATAAATTCCTTTTTCTGTGTAGAAAAGGACCGTTGCCTATGCATCTGAGTCTGAACAAAATGTAGAAAATGAGTTATAGTAGTTTGAGTTTCTCCGTGAAATAAGGCCAGGTTTCGGACCATTTCTTCCACGCCGCCATGACTCCTTCTTGTTGCAAGCTTCCAACAGAGTGTTCAGCCACTTGAGTTTGACATCATTGTTTTGCAATGACCAACTGTCAGAAAAACATGCTGGAATTAATAGGAATAAGGAATTGATAAGCTCGGAGGCATACAATGCATACATGTATCAGACTATTTGGAACCGATTCTCCACTACGACTGGTTCTTGATTCCCATCCTTAATAAAGACAAGCAATAGACACGGTTCTTGTAGAGTTCTTGGAGGGACTGATAGAAATAAGGAACTGATAAGCTGGGAGGCATATGATTCCGATGGATCAGATAATTTAGAACCTGTTCTCGAAGCCCCTCCCTAATATAAACACACAATAGACAGAGAGTTGTTGGAGAGAGATGAAGGCAGTAGAAGAAGTCTTCGGAGGCAAGCCTTTTGCCCAACCCTCGAGTGTGGCCACTTGTAAAAGGTATGCACACATTTCCCTGGTAAGACGGCACATCTTATGACCTATTTCGCTCGAAGCATACTGAACCTCTCTACTCTTTCTTCTTCAGCCTTGGCGTCACTTTGTTTCAATGAATATACTCTGTCTGGACTCTGGACTGGAATATGAAACTCTTCTGCCCCCACTTCACCTGCAGCACAGATTTGCACCACATCCAGAGCCCTCTGCTGCCTGTCTGCTCATCCTTATAGCTCAAGGGCTTGTCGCTCTCCCTCTTCTTTTTACTCTTTTTTTCTGTCTCTCACTCCCCCACTCTGTCTTATCTTTTCGTGTTCTTTCCTCTCACCCCTCCTCCCAGTCAAGTTTCATTTCACGGATTAGCCTTCCAGAGCCCCCACAGCCTGAAATGTCTCAATCACTTGCTAGCTTCCCTCCAACGCTGCCACTGTGACCAAGCATGGGTAAGCGTGTGTGTGTGTAGGGTATTTTTGTTGTTGTGCATAAATATGGAATATGTGCATGCACAGTTTATGTTTCCTGCTACATCACTTTCATGCTAACATGGAACAGATTTTAATGCAGGACCTGTGATTTTGTGGAATAAACAAAGAACTCCTATGTGTAAAAGTGAAGAGAAAACAGCCTTCAGCTGCACAGAAGTATCCACTACATCTAGTACTCTAGCATATAGAAAACATAGTATAGTAGCTGATCGTTTTTAGGTCATGTTTTAAAGCCCATCTCCACTCTGTGTAGAGTTGTGAGGCCTGAGTAAATCCAAGCTTAGGAAAGAAGAATCCGGTGCTTATCGGCCTTGAGAGGTGCTTGGGGCTGCCTTAACCCTCCATAGCCTATTAGCTGGCTGTGCTCTAATTGGGGAGCTGTGGGGAGAGGGGCGGCAGGGGTGAGTGGTATTCAAATCACCCATGAGGTAATCCTCACTCTACAAATGTGTGTTGTGACCCTGTGACCTAGCCTCTAATGATGTGGCAGCAGCAGAACCTGTATGAGGGAAGCCATGCAAAAGAGAAGGGCTCGAAGACGGGTTTTTTAACTGAAGGGCCTCCCATTTTCGTGTCTTGTCATGTCTGTAAAACAGTTGGTCTTATAACAATGACCAAAGCTATTGTGTGGAGTTGAGTGGTCAAATCTTTATGTCTTTATAAAAACTACTAGATGCAATCCTAAGCTGCAATTTGCATGGCCACTTCTAATTACAATGTGGATAAAAAAGCATGCAACAATTTACATTGAATTTACATGTG